ACCCCAACTCTAGTCTCTAGAATTCTGGTTACAACCCCTATATCTAAGTTGTTGAAGGGGTAGCTACTTTAAATTTTGAAAAGTCAAATGAGGAAAAGGAGTTTGAGACAAATACTGGTGGTAGAGGTGAAAAAGGCCAAGTTGATGATGATGATTATGAGGTTGAGCAAGAGGAAATGGAATTTGAAGAGAGTGATTTTGATTGTTAGATTTCATGATAAATGTTAGATTCTTAATTTGTATGAATTGAAATTGTCATTGTTTATGCTTTTAAATTTTGTTATGTTATGTGAGTTCTAAATTTCTAAGCTTTTTCCATATGAGTTTATTATGTGATTTGCTTGAAATATTATCTTATTTTTGTTAATTTTTATTAGGTCATTTTAAATTTTTTTATTGGCAGGCATGTCAATATTTAACCATATTTATAATTTTTTAAGATGTTGTATTGTTAATTTGTCAATAGTGGCCACTTTGCTATAAGAGTGGATGTTACCCTTTCCACTATTTGTCATTATTCGTTATTGATAACACTATTTTCAACTATTTGGGTGGATGGCATCCTCCTTTTACTCGCTTTGTTAAACTTGGCACTAATGGATCAACCATCAACAATCCTAGCAAAGTTGGTGTAAGGGGAGTTTTTAGAGATGACTTGGTTGCTGGCTTTTAAGGTACTCTAGAAATGTTAGAGATACTACTAGTTTGGCTACTGTAGCTATGCGTTATTCATGATGGCCTATCTCTTGCTTGAATTTACTAAGCTTATTACAAAAACAGATTCTAAGGTGGCCAAACTGTTATTAGATTCTAGAGACTATAATTTGCACTAGTTAGAGACTTTTATTTCTGACTGCAAAGATATAATGACTTAGCTCTCTAATTTCCAACTTGTCCATGCTTTTCGGGAGGCTAATTGTGTTGTTGATTGCCTTGCCAAGCATGGGGTTGAACTACAGTCTAATTTTGTTGTTTTTGAACAATGTCCTCCTAATGTCTCTTATTTGTTGGATTGTGACACCATTGGGAAGGCCTTTCCCAGAATGGTTGTAACCGTTACTATTTCTAATGCTAATCTCATTATTTACAAAAATAAATAAAATAAAATAAAGTGTATGAAAACTCAAGTGAGCTATGAAGTGATGAATAGATGAATGATGGTCACTAAGATGTTTGACATCAAATAACATTCATCACCGAGCAGCACTAAAACATGGTTCACCATGACAACCTATGAGATATCAAAGTCATTGAGCAGCTTTGGAAAAAAGATAATGGAAAACTATTAGTATATAGGTTAAATATCTAATTTGGTCCCTCAATTGTCAGTTTTGAACCAAGTTCATCCCTAAACTTACTAAATTACAGAATATGTCCATAAACTTTATTTTATGGTTGCCAACTTGGTCCTTCTATCAACGGAAGTGCCCAATTGGCATGTTAACATGCCATGAATTTATATTTTTTTAATTCAAAGAATTACATGTAAAAAAACCACAGACACATTGATGATTTGGCAACCTCTAGGTATAATCCCCATTTCCATATGTAAAATCGAAAAATTGAAAAAGTTAATTTCAAACTTTGGTCCTCTAGGTAAACAATTAAATAATTAAATAATTAGGCCCCACTCACTTTTTCTTAATGTATCAATTTAATGTATCAATTAGTGGTAACATATATAATTAAATAATTATCATTTTACAATGTTCATGAAATTTAAAATTTCAAGGAAATTAACAAAATCAAAGAGCAAATTCATTTTCCCGTGAATTTTCTCTACAACCAAACAACCAGGCTACCCAAAAAATTTGCAAAAGAAATTCATCTCCTTCAATCCAATTCTATCAACATGAAATCTAAAGTTTAACTTCCAACAATTCAATAAAAACCCCATAAACCAATTGGAATTCTTTTCCCATGATTTTCTCACCAACCAAACAAATACCCATATAAACATACCGCAAAGCAAGAAAATTTTCATTCATATTCTCCCAGATTTATCATGAAATCAAAATTTTTTTCCCAAGATTTTCTCACCATGATTTGTCCTCTAACCAAAGAAATATCCAGATCATGGATCATATGCAAAGCTCCATCAAAAAGCTTCACACCATCGCCATTGTTGTTGCTAGCCTCCATGAATTATAGATCGATGCTCATCTAGACTAGAGCCTTGCCTTTTAGATTGATGTCATTTACTGACGTTTGTTGCTTCGCACCCAATTGTGACGCCTTGGTTTTGATCAATCCGAAATTCCAAGTCCTTATGCCTAATGAAGATGAACCCATTCTTCAAATCAAACTCATCAAAATTTTTGGGTTCTACAATAACCCAAATCTGAGTGCTGTAACGAACCTAGCCACAAAATCTCTACAACCCCAAACCCCAATCTAGGTTAAAACCCCAAACTTGATCTAGGTTGAATCCCCAATCCCAATATGGGTTCTAAATCCCAACTAGAAAAGAAAAGAAGAAAAAAAACAAAGAAGGAAAGAAAAGGGAAATGAGGAAGGAGGAAGAAGGAAAGAGGAAAGAGGAAGGAGGAGAGTAAAGAGTAAAAGGAGAAAGGGAAAGAATGCTGCCACTAGTATTACTGTCGATGTCATTGTTGGAGAATAGGAAAAGGAACAAAAATGGTAGGGGGGATGGGGGATTTGAAGATAAGGGGAGGGTTAATATTGTAATTGCATATTTTCTTTTATTAAGTTTATTAAAATAAATAATAAATTTACCACTAGATGAAATAATACAGATCTATTAATTTTTTTAATTTTAAAGTATAAAAAATTACCAATCATCATTTTTTTCCACGTAATTTTTTTGAAATAAAAGTATTAATTCGTGGAATGTTAACATGCCAATTGGGCACTTTTGTCGATGGAAGGACTAAGTTGGTAGGGAAAAATGAAGTTTAAGGACAAATTTGGTAATTTAGTAAGTTTAGGGACAAACTTGGTCTAAAACTAAAAGTTGAGGAACCAAATTGGATATTTAACCTAGTATATATATGCGTGCAACAATTCACCTTCTTGGACAAAAAATTACAAATATTAGAATAACCTAGTATCACTAAAATAAAATGTATAGAATAATATTATAGATAGGCTATAAAGAAAAACTGAAACATAGGTTTTTTTTTTTTATTTTTAACAAGTACAAATTTGGAGAGGAGTATTTTAACCCAGCATAAAAAACTGAGGGTTGCACATTTTGCAAAGGTTTATGGTCAATTGACCTTTTAGGTTAGATGCAATTGAAACATAAGTTTTGGTTATTACCAAAAAAAGAAATGTTATGGCCACACAAATTTATTTATTTATTTTTCCTTAAACAACCAATTATAATCTTTAAACACATCAATTTGTAAATTGATTTCAATTTATTAATTAATAATTATTAACCATTTTGTTAATTATCAATTACTAGTTATAGCTGTTTATTATTATCAACAGTTTAACCACACACAATTTTTTTTGAACAGATTACAAATTGAGGGTGAAGCTAACCCAGCCCAAGAGACTAGAGGGTGCACCTATCAAGGGTGACAAAGCTACTAGGTCGAGAAGGCCAAGTGCATTAAACTATACAGAATTATTACTTTTAAAAAAAATTAAAAAATTTGTGTGCCAAACACTTTGTGCATGACAATGACCATGCCCACACCCTTGCTTTTTGGCTTGAAGAATAACTTAGACATTAAATATAGAGATTTATGATTCCAAGTAAGAATAGACGTAGCAAAATTATATCAAATCTAAAAATTTGAATAAATTCTTTTGCTATGTAGAGTCATGGGTCAAAGGTATTAATTTAGAATTTGATATGATTTAAGTTGAAATTATTTGAATTTGATTGGGTTTGGTTAAGATTGGATTGGGTTGAGTCAACTTGAAGTAATCCAATTAAAATTAATTAATTTTTTAAATTTAATCTAATCTAATAAACTCACAATCCAAAATGACTCAATCTAAAACCATCCGATTTTTTTTGCCATGTTTAAGTAATAATGTCACTCCAAGTAAATAAAAAAAATGATTTTGGGACAATTTTTTTGTATTACTTTTTTATGTAACTTGATGTATTATTTAAATGATTAATTCTTTTTATTCATATAGGACCCATGGTATTAAATGCATCAATTCATTTAATAACATATGAAAATTGTATTAAAATATGGTGTAAAAAAATTGTCGATATAACACTGCTAAAAAAAAAAATTCAATCCAGTTATTTTACTTGTCTTTCCAACCATTGTGCGGTGGAATTCAAAATAGATTAAAATACTAAATTAGTCCCTTAAGTTTTAAATTTATATTAAAATTATTTTTTTAACTTCAAAAAATATTAAAATTATCCCTAAATTTTAATTCTTAGTATCAAATAATTCTTAAAATTTGAAAATAAGTATTAATTTAGTTATTGAACTTTATAAATGAGTACTAACTTCCTTAAACTTTAATTTTAAATACTAATTTAGTTTTTCAACTTTAATTATATGTTAATTTAATATGTAAATAAAAATATATTATAATAATAAAATATAATTATTTAATTTTATACATTATTAATTATATAAAAAAATTAATTTTATGATAAGATAAGAGGCCGCGTGACATTCATGTTAATGAAAGGCTTGTCTTAGTATCAAAAATTAAAATTAAAAAAAATAAAAAAACCAATGCTTTGCTGATCTTAATTGAAGTAACACTATTCCCTTTTAATAAAATTTTAAATTCAAATTTTATGAATAAAAAACCAAACATTAAAAAAACTTCTCATTTTAAATAAAGTTTTAATTTCAAATTTAATGAATAAAAAAACAAACGTTAAAAAAACTTCTCTTTTTATGAAATGTGATACGAAATCAATTATAAATTAATCAAAATCTAATATAGTTACTTCGATTAGTAAATAAATAAAAGCGTTTTCAGTACAAATTTAAAAGTCGAGGCATCAACACCCCCCGGCCCCGGCCCCGGCCCACCCCAAACACCGTCAGTCAGCTACATCGGAGGGAACAAGACACAAGATAACAACACACACTTCGAGTTGATACCTAAAATGCATCAGACTGATCCGAGTGAAATATACCTTTAAAATTGCATGCGAAAATGCACTAAAACTTCTCCAGGGACACTCACTGTCCTAAAAAAAGTTAAATAAATAAATAAATAAATAAATAAAAGAGATAAGGACAGAACAGTCTGCATGAGAACCCATGGAAACCTTAATAAATACACTATAAACTGGATTTAGTTATTTCTTGTGAGCACCTCTTCGAAAGACCACAATGGACTTCTCTTCTCCCCCATTAAATGAAAAATCATGGGGACTTTCAAAAGTATACAAAGACCAACTTATATTTCTCAAGAATACATCAATGGCCAAGAATCAAATATCAACTGTCTCCGTTGAATTTAAGGAGACATACTTCACCTACATTTTCATTTGTGTGGTTCAATTCTGAGCAAGTGCCAAGGTATAAGTTGGAAGAATTTGGACCAGGGAAGTAGGAGGGGTAAGAAGACAATGGCCGGAAAAGAGGGAAAACCAATGAATTAATGATCAAAGTGAAAGACAAGGTACCCTATCAGGGAGATTCCTGGGTATCGGAAAGGCAGTAACATATCTTTGGGGGAAGGGTTTTGGAATATTCACTGGTCCATCAGAGGACAATGAGGACTCAACCCCGTCAGCTTGCCCCCGGCCATGGAACCTCGCAAAGCGATTGATAACTGACACCCTCTCAAGCTCCTGACATTCCACTCTTAGGTCTAAAATTGAGGCTCTCTTGTCCAGTCTGCACAATAAAGAAGCAGCGTCAGAAACAAAAGGACAACTTAAATGCTACTAGAAAATACATAAGGAAAACACCAAACACTATAATAACAATAGCAAAAGCAAGCAAAGAAATGGTATAGTTTCAAATTAATTAAATTTCACAATCTCAACATAATGTGGATCAAATCAAAACACCTGCTTTAAAAATTCAACTAATCCACCCCAACTGACAATTCTCTCTGTAACAGCAAAAGAAATTAGCTGCAACCCCACAGCATAGCGATTGGCAACATCCTTACCACCAATTAACAATTCTCAGAGCACATCAGCATGCAAGAATTGGGATGAGCCAGATAAACCCTTCTATGTGCTCACTTAAGAGTCATATCCTCATTGTTACGAATAAATAAAATGATAGCAAATGCACGTGTGTGTGTGAATGTTTGATGGGAAGACCTCGTAAAGTATATTGAATTACAGATTCATAGAAAAGTTATATTGAATTGACAATGTTGTCAAAGAGAAGCAGACTATCTGACCATTGTCCAGCAATCAGAAGATATCTCTAAAATCTAAAGAATGGATACCTCAATATATCATTTTCCAACTCCCTTGATTTACTGAGAAACTCTTCCAGAGCCTTCAAGATATACTGGTCACCATATCTCTCTGACAGTTTATGTTTTTCAGAGCTGCTAAAAGAAATTTTAGAAAATTTGCTATTAGTATGGGCATTCTATATCATCACTTACAATAGGCATCCAATGAGTTATCTGGTAAAAGCATGATAGATCAATTTCAAATTCAAACTAATAATGAATTCTTACATGTTTCCACTGTCAGAATGGGAATTAGTATCACATGCAGAGATAGATGTTGTGCTGCATGCATCACCTAAAGCTGATCGAGCAACAAAGTAGGCCAAACTCTCATAATTTTTGCTAGCATCTGCGGAGAGAACTACTCTGGGTGCATTGTGCAGTAGTTGCTGCATGAGCTGTGTTGTCAAGATAAGCCTTCTTTTTGATCGAAGCATAGGTGGCCAATCCTCAATCCACTCAACATCATCTTCCACCTGCTTTTAAATATGGTAATATTAGAACCATTGGGAATCTAAAAGCTAAAAGCAGCACATAATTACATAGAAGAATCCAATTAAACCATGAATTTACCTTCTCAATCAGTCTATTTGACTCCCGAGCCCATTCTACCTCAGCCACACTGTGAAAAAAATAAATAAATACAATTCCAAAAAGAAGGAACAACATGACAATAAAGGCGGAACACTAAAGACAACTAATTAGACTAAATTGGAGAAAACAATTAGTGCATTTTGTTGATTAACATAAATAGTGAAAACAAACAATATATTGAATACAAGGGATCCATATGCCAATCACCTTATGCTTAGAAGCCTTGGAGAACCCTGTGACACTTCTCTTTGCCAAGGCAGAAGTTCAGACGAGGCACTTTTACGCTTCTTTGGCCTCGTAACAACCAAATTCTCATTACTGTTATCAGGAGGTGGTAAGCAAAGGGTGGAGATATGCTCACTTGCCATTGACATGGAGCTTGAGTTTTGCAAGACATTATCCAACTCAGTAACAGCAGCAGCAGGTACTTGCTGAGTTGAATGAAGAGGATGCAAACTATCAGAGGGCCTCCCAACAATTAGAGACTTTTCCAGAGTCATTGTTGCAGCAAATTTTTGAGTATCATACATAGGCAACATCTGCCCATTCTTAAAGGTCCCATACCGATCAAACCAGGACGGAGCCATCTGAGGACTAACTTGAGTATGCTCACGCCTAGTGGCTGCAGGACTACCATTGCTGGAAAATTTCTGAATATCTTTTGGACCATATGCAAGCATATCATCAGAAGATGCATTTGCCTCAAGATTATCTCCTGAATTTAACGAAAAGCCTACCATCTTAGAATCTCCAGAAGGAACCAAGGTATGATTAACTGGTTCATCTCGGACTACAGTGTTAGATCCGTAAGATAACTGGTGCCCTCCCAGTGCAGCGACCTGTTGAGCATTCAGACCAGAGTCTGGACCTTTAAATCTTTTTAAACTCCTATTACTAGGATCAATCTCTATACTTTTCACGGCCTGCACCTGATGGAGCAAGGAAAGGTTTTGATGTATCATGTTATTTGGTTTTAAAGAGTGACCAAATGCTTCAATTTCTCCTCGTGAAGTAGTAAGACCTGAAGACCCATCACTCTTTACAACAGATTCTTTCTGCTGTACATGTGATGCATTCGGTGTCTTTTGGCTGGTATCATTCTCTTGGGAAACCTGCTTTACTCTTAAGGATTGCTCCTCTGCGACAAAGCTTCGTGATTTACCATAGCTTGCATCAAACTCAGATGGATCATTCCCAACTGTCTGGAAAAGTTGACCATCTAGCTTCTGTGATCCAGAGAGAGGTGTTTCTGAATTGTTATTTGAATGAACTTGAGGCTTAAACAAATTTTGAGAAATCTTAGCAGGTTGAGATCCTAAAAAACATGATTGTGGTGCATTAGGGAAAGATCCAAGTGTAACAGAAGGCCCAGAAGTGGACATTGCCTTCAACGCTGGAGCTGGATCTCTTTCATGGTTTTGGTTGGTAGCTGGCTGTGATGTTTCTGTAGAAGAAGTAAGGTCATTATCCAGGACACCTTTAGGCATATGAGCCACTGATGCCATCCCAGATTGACTGGTTTGAGCTCTTTCATACAAGTCATCAGTCTGCTTTCCTTGAGACACTGACCTGCTAAAAGGGGTTTTAACAGATTCACTTGATACAACTGGACCACCCACACTAGTTACATTCTGATTTTGAAAATGACTTCTTGAATGAGGAAAACCAGAAGTAAGAGCAGCTCCATTCATATTATATTGGAAGACCTTGTTGTCGATGTGACCTGACATAATAGGAATAGTATTCTTAAATTCCACTGTTGGTGTTTGATGAGGATTTGATGACTGAACAGAAGCTGTAGGCCCCAACCGTGTGTTATGAGCCTTCCTCCCTATATCAGAAGATGCAGCTGTTGTATTTAGAGAACAAACAGTCTGTGCAGCACTCTGAGAAGTAAATGCATGATCCAGAATGGGCGACCTCTGAGAAGGAGGGCCCAATTGTAAGCCAAAACCTTGTGATGAAGAAGACTGAATTTGCTGAAGGTGGTCAACTGATCCATCAGAAGCTTTGGTGTCTGCCATTTCAGATGACTGATTTCTTTGGGAAGAAGTGAGGTGCGCTGCAATACCACTATCCTTTGATTGATCCACTTTCTGAAGAAGTTCCAGCACGTTTTGACTACAATGAATTGACACAGGGCATATAATATTAACAAAAAATAACTTACGAAAAGAAAATAAAGATTGCATTTGAATGATATGATATTTACAAGGGAATTCATTTTTTTATCAGCATTTAACATTATTAACATGAAAGAATTTAAAAATCCTTTTCTAGAATTTTTTTTTTAAAAAATTAATATTAATTTTAACACTAATATTATATGAATGATTTTAATTGGACAACTCATAAATTAATGTCAATTTTTATTTTTTTAAGTATAAAAGTACAATAAATACAAATATAGCATATGTTAGAAAAACTCATAAACGTAAT